GGAAGCATGTGGCCTGAATGTGTCATCTGCATTATTAGAGATATCATAGTACTAAATGAGGCTCTGATGTCCTGAAATACTCCAGCAGTTTAGTACCAGATCACAGTCTCTTCCCTTGTCTCCTCCCTTGCTTTGTATCCCCAGCTTGTCTTCTCTCTCTCTCTCTCTCTCTCTCTCTTTCTCTTTCTCTCTCCCTCTCTCTCTCTCTCTCTCTCTCTCTCTCTCTCTCTCTCTCTCTCTCTCTCACTGACTTAGTCTGGCTTCTCCCAAAGCAGAATCTGAGACAAGAGTCTAAATGCAGTTTATTTGAAAATGTGATTTCAGAGAACAGGAGTATGACTGGTTCCCATTCCCACCAGATTTCCGAAGTGCCTTACAAATTGCAATTCAAAGGCCTCCCTGGTGGCCTAGTGATTAAGTCTCAGCCCTATCACTGCTAGGGCCTGAGTTCATTCCCCACTGGCTAGGGAGCTACCCACATGGCGCAGCAGACCTCTCCTGCCTCTCCCGCTGCTCCCCTCAGCAGTGTATTTCAGTAAATCTGCCTGTTCTGCTCCCCTTCTCTGTCTCTGGTGAATTCTCTCACCTCTCCCTCTCCTCTGGCCTACACCCCAGTTCTTTTTTTAAAAAGATTTATTTATTAATGCATACAAGAGCTGGGGTACAGGCCAGAGGTGTGGCAGGTGAGAGGATTCACCAGAGACAGAGTGGGGAGCAGAACAGGCAGTTCTACTGAAATACACTGCTGAGGGGAGCAGCAAGCGAGACAGGAGAAATCTGCTGCACCATAGGGGTAGCTCCCTGGCCATTGGGGGTCGAACATGTGCTGCAGTGGCTGCAGATAGCTTCACAGGCTATGTCTTAACCCCTTGCACCACCAGGGAGGCCCCATCCCATTTCTTCTATACAAAAAATTTTTTAAAAGAAATTGCAGTTTCAAAACTGCCTGGAGAAGAGAACATTCATCTGTCCTGGTCAAGGGTGGCCCCATGTGTGAGCTTATTGTGTCAGGCAACACCACATTGTCAAAGAAACAGAAGCCATGGAACAAACTGTTCTGGCAGAATGCTACCGAGAAGGTAGACCCTGACCCTTTCATTGAGGGATGATTATACAGAGTCAATTACTCAGGGCAAGAAGGAGGAAGAAATGTATGTTTAGGTTAGCTGCACTGTAGGGGAAAGGAGTCTATGAATCCAAATCAGATTTACAGTCCAGTTTTATGGCCCAAAGTTTGAAGGGTGAAATCAGACTTTCTGACTTTGCTTCTGGTACCCATCTTGCTAACAAGGCATTCCTCTGATGTCTCTCTGGATGCAAAGTTAAATATCAGTCAGTGGATCCCCAGGCATTCCTCGTCATGCCTCATGACATATACTCATTGTCACAGGAGATTAAGCATCCTGCTCTTGTAACTTAAGAGGCACCTCTGCAGGGTCAGTAGTTAATTGATTGGTTGGGCCTCATGGACTTTGTAGTGATAAGGCTGAACTTCATCACCAAAATAGCTGCTTAATCAGCTCTTTAATTCTAGCAGACCCATAGGAGTTGTGAGTTGTGTATTCCTGAGCATGGGCCTGGTTATCGTGATGTGGTGTCAGGATGTTAGGTTAATGAGAGGCCCCAACACAAGGCTAGACCCTGTCAGACTGCACCTGATCAGTGACTTCACAGGCCTGGTGATCGCAGCAGTGGCATGAACAAGAGATTTAGAGTGTGCACAGGAGGTGTCTGATCCAATCCATTTCTTACACTTGTTTGTGCCTCCCTTTAGATTCACTCTATCATAGGCCACTGCTATACGGTGGTCGGTCAAGATCTCTGCAAAAAGTTGCTGCTTTTGCAGCAGATCCCAAGACCATAATCTCTCTTCTGCTCTCCTACTACGGACTTTCTCACCCTTGAGCACTCTCTTGGCTGGCCTAGGTTGCTTGCATAAGTATAAATTTTCAAACAATATTCAGGTGAGCCTCTCCTGAAACATGGCCAGAGACATCCTTGACTTTCACGACATTCCTCATGTTGACAAAAGACTTGAGTCTGTCAATTTCTTCATTTTCTTTTTGCAAAGCTTCCAAAGCAGTTTAAACACCAGTCAATTCAATCCCAAGCTCCCACACTGTATAAGGAACACAGCCACCTTACAACTTATACTTGAACTGCTGCCTGCACCCCATCTCGAGTCACCACAATACAGAGTAATTGAGATGCTGCTGGTCAGGCAGCTCAGACGTGCCAGCCTCCAGAGCTGTGAGAAATAAATTTCATTAAAGCCACCCAGTCTATGTTATTTTGTTATAGCAATCCAGGCTAAGCCACCACCCCAAAGCCCATGTTCACTGTAGGCTGATAAACATTAAATATTTCATAAATTGAAGCAAACTCATAGTTAAAGATCAATCCATGCTATATATAGTTTCCACAGCATGGAAAAACAATCAACAAATCATATAGCCAAGGTCTAATTTTATGTTTCTGATGTCAGAGTTAATTATTTTTATTACAAGTGAGACTTATCAGTAAAATCACTGGTGACCTAGAGTACCTTCCCCGCTGGGTTTCAGTTTGAATTAAGTGAGCTTATCCTTATAAAGCCTCAGACACAGCACTTGTCCCACTGAAAGTACTCAATCAATGATATTGGCTCATGACTTCATCTCCAAATAAAAATAGTGGTGAATTTCACAAAGATATTTTTTGAAATTCATATTTTATTTACATAGCGTAAAACTGGTCTGTTCAACAATTCCTATAGCTCAACAATTCCCATAGGTGAACTGAATGAACCTTCATGGTTTGTATTAGAAAATAGTTAAAATCCTAAACCAAAATTTTTCCAGTTGCCTTTGATTGGCTCCCAGCTTTATTTATTTATTTATTAAAATTTATTTATTTATTTTTATACAAGAACTGGGTACAGTCAGAAGGGAGGGAGGGTGAGAGAATTCACCAGAGTGGGGAACAGAACAGGCAGACTGACGAAATACACTGCTGAGGGGAGCAGTGGGCACGGCAGGAGAGGTCTCTCGCACCATGTGGGACCCTCGCTGGTGGCCAGGGATCAAACTGGTGCTGCAGAGGCTGCAGGCAGCTTCACAGGCCAGCGCTCAACCGCTGCACCACCAGGGGAGGCCCTTGGCTCCCAGCTTTAAAAAAAGAACCGAAATGTGTCCCAAGGAGACTGGGCTTCTAGTGAAGATTCAAACAGTTCACCAAGTGCTTACTGCATCCTACATTTATGAAGGAGAGGGTGGAAACATTTGTTCATTTAACTTTAGTCAAGGGAAATCAAATATGTGTGAGCTATAAAAAAATAAATGACACTAAAATACTAATTAGATTTCAGAGCATTGATCTGAATGAGCTTTTAATCAATTTAGATCACAACTGTAGATGTATTTGTGCCCAATATTTCTTAAAGTATTTCTCACATATTATCTATGCTTATGGTTAGCCAGTCTTACTGTCTAATTATAGAAGCTTACAAGCTTTGCTTTGGTGACAAAGGAAGAGAGAGGAAAATATTCTTTAATCCCTCAGTGCACAAGAGATGACATTTCTTTCAACTTTGTTTTCACTTACATCATATGGAAGTATCTTGAGGTAACATGGAAATTCAAATACCAAATAAATCTTAATAAAAAATACTTGTTCATTCAAATACAGCTTCGGGATTTTTACAAGCCCTTTTCTATCTCTTCATTCCTTTTTAAACAACCATGAAAAATTGTAGCTTCAGGGAGGTAACAAGCTAGTATGTAAATTACAACCCTGACTTAGAGTATAAGTATATACATCATAAAGCAACAGAAAAAAATGACTAGAAAACTATATACTAAAATGTTCACAATAATTCTCTCTGGGGATGGGACTGAAGTGATAATTATTTTCATTTATTAGTCTACATTTCCTCAATTCTACATTGTTTCCCTGAGCCCTCCAGAATCCAGTGTTGATATGGCAACTGTGAAAAGCTAGCTTTATTTTTCAGATGCTAAGGAAGATAAACCACTTGGTCATCATCTATGACAACTGACAAAAGTCCACAGAACCCACTCAGCACTAGGACCAGGGGCCTGCATTACTTGTGAAATTCTCACTTGGATGCTCCAAGTGCCCCAACACCATCCTCATGTGAACCAGTCTTGAGAGTCACTTCTTGGATTTGTTTTCAAGGAAAGCAATAAGTATTGGGATATTGTGTAACCAATGATTGCTATAGTTAACACTGCTGTATGCTATATTTGAAAGCTGACTCAAGAGTAGATCCTAAAACTTCTTAGTACAAGGAAAAAATTTTTGTGACTATATGAGGAGATGGATATTAATTCAACTTGTGGTGATCACCTCACAATATAAATGCTTGGCAAGTCATTATGTAACACACCTTAATTTATACAGAGCTGTCTGTAAACTGTATTTTAATAAAACTGGACAAAATATCAAGCATTTCCATAGGCATAAAAAGCATAAAATTGGGTCTTAAAAATAATAAATGAATTCATATCAAGAAATGAGAATCCTGAGCTTTGGTTCTCATGTCAAATAATAAGACCCTCTCATATGTGTCTTCTCAGCCAAGACAATCAATCAGATACTTGATACTCATACCTAGAGCTCAACCAAAGTAATTCAATCATCTAAAGAGATAAAGAGAATTTTTCTCAGATGTTTAAAATTTTATTAAATTTAAAATTATTTCTTTGGAACCTACAATTAAAAGTTATAGAGAATGACCCCATATTTACATACACTTTACAGAAACTCAAAGCTGCCTACACATTTTAGCAGACTTGCAGGTTGTTTTTCTCAGACTGGATATGCAGGGATAACAGGTCAGTCTCTCTGGAAGACAGGACCCTGGACTCCATGGTAACTGGAGGGGCTCCAAGTGCCATAAACCTGGTCTGTTTAACCACTGTCTGTTCCCTCAGCTCCACATTTAACAAACCCCCAAGGCCTACTGCTTCCCCACCCAGACCACCCCCAGAACCCTTCCTCCCACCAATATTCACTCCTGCAGATGGACCTACCACAAGGTCATCTCCCCTCTGTATTGCTGCACCTGATCTTGACTGGTGTTCCTCACTCCACTTTAACCTTGCCAATCCAATCTGCCCATGAACTCAGCCCTAAACCCACACTATTCAGCATAACACCTTTCTGTGACTTAAAATGGACTTAAAGGTAAAGGTGGATCAACCAGACCCTTGCCTCCATCCAGCGCCAGGTTGATATACAACCATATCTTCATCGATGGACCCCTCAATGTATTTGCAATGGCACAGGGCAAGGAGGTCAGTGTCTGGGGTGGGGGTTTTCTAAGACACCCCCAGCAGGGGCCAGAAATCTGAGTGCTCCGTGGGCTCCACCCAGTTGCTAGCCCCAATGATGTGTTCTGCCCATTACAAAGGACTTGGTGATTATTACCTACAGAAAGCTAGGGGAAATTTGAGGAAGAGATCACTTGTGCTGTTATCTTTAGAGTCCAGAGACTGCATCCAAGTGAAGTGTAAGCAGCAGGTACCTGGATGGTGGACCTCAGTAAAGTTCCAGGAACGTTTCAATATGAGGAGGGGCATCCTGGAGGCTCCAGTGAAATGACTACCAGCAGTGCCTGCGCTTGTGACCATGATGGGGGAGGAAGCACTTTCTCTGTCTTTCTCTCCCTCTCAGGCCCAGGTTTGTCACCTACCTGGGCTTCTTGAAAGTTGTCCAGTGCTTTTCACCCCAAATGCACATTAGGACCCAATATGTGGGTACTAGGCATTGCCACCCTGTGAAAACTTCTCAGCTTTCAGACTGAGATTGATCCCCATGATGACCAAAGTCTTGAGTGTGAGGGTATAAGTGGCTTTAGAGTTTGCAAAATATACCTGACCCTTGACAGTGTGTTAGGAGGGGGGTGGGAGAGTGTTGGAGCACTGATATCTCCCCTATCTCCCCATCACCATCCTGCATAGAGATCCTGGAGCTTCCATCCTTGAAAGTGGCCCCTCCAACTCCACTGGCTCCTCATACCTGAATTCTGGGCATGAAAAGCCCATGGAGACAGAACTTCTTTATTGAATCAGATCTGAGTGCACTGCAAACTTGTGCTGTTCCAGGGTCGATGACACTCCCAGGCCATGGATGCTCCACAGGGACCCTCTGAGATGGGCTGGGGGCTGCCATCCTCTTTTTCTGGATGACTAACAAAGTCTAGAATAAGTTAGGACTCAGAGTAGTGAGTCCTCACCCAGGGCTCCTTGGAAAGCCGGGGTGCCACTGTCCAATCCCCAAGCACACTTTCTGACTCTGTGCGCCTGAAGGCATTCACAAAGGTATTCACATTGTCCTGAGGTTTGGGACCCTGGAACCTGAATCCTTTGATGGATTAAATCACTTCAAATGCAGAATGGGGGACCAGGTAGGTGAGGTTGGACACCAGACAATCCCAGTCAGTTTTTGTAGAAGTCATTTCAAAGGGATGTCCAAATTAGCCCCTGGGTACTGTGCAGCTGGCATTCTGGCTGGACCTGGGTGACAACTGGCCAGAAACCCTGTGTTAGTAGGCTCACTGGCACACAGGTAAGTAGGTGAAGGACCCCGGTTTGCCATCACTAGGCGTTGGTGCCGTATTACGAAGGCAGCTGGCTCTGGTTTAGGATCAACACACAGAGAAAAATAGCTGAGCATGTCATTCAGTGGCTTAGGATCAGTGGTTTCAGAGGCACATCCACCAAATCCTTCCTCTCATCAGATCCCAGATGGCCACACCATGTCTTCGTCTATGTGACCCTCAACCTTTCAATGAAGGCACAGGAGAAGATGGTGAGTGTGTGGAATGGGTGTTATTCTAAGACACCCCAGTGAAGGCCATAAGTCAATGGGCTTTGTGGGCTCTGCCCAGCTGCTAACCCCAACGATTCACTCTGCCCAATGTATAGGACTCCATGGACATGATGGGGCAAAGTTAGGAGAAATTTAAGGAGGGGCTCTCTTGTTCTGCTTTCTTCAGAGTCTGGAGACTGTTTGCTTCCAAGCCAAGGGCTGTGCAAAAAAGCTCCAGTAAACCCTGGGATATTAACTCACTCCAAATATTGCATATAATTTTAGTTAGCTGCTACTTAAACAAGCAGTTTGTGGGAGAAGCAAAAACTAAAGCATTTTAAATGAAAAGCAGTCTTTAGATTAAAGGGAAAGACATCAGGACCATACATTAGTGGAACTCCTCTGTCTCAGCATCCTACTACTTTACTAGAAGCTCTTCATTTCCCTTTCATTTTCTTTCTCCACTATGACAGACAGTGGAGAACCTTTGGAAAACCAACTGAGGAGAGGGTCTCCCCCTTCAGCGGCTGGCTCTCCCTTCTGTCTTTAATCAGAAAGCTGTTCTCTGCCAAGATGCTCTCCTAGCTAGTTGTGTTTCAAACCTGCCGCATGGAATCCCAGACTCCTCCCCTAGAAATTCTGATTCAGGGCATCTGGTGCAGAGTCTTGGAACCCACATGTTTAACAAGTACCCCAGATGATTCTGATGAGCCAGCAAGCTTGGGAAACACTGCCTCTTCCTCAGAGACGAAGACAGTCCCTGCCCCTGCAGTGGAGCAGCCAGAAGTTCTGGGGTGTAAACTCAGTTCAGAGGGGAAGGCAGCATCAGTTGAAGCTGCAGATATCTTCCCCTCTTTCTAGAAAGCTTTATTGTTTTGCTGTTAAATGTTGTAAACTTAGTTGTTTAATGCTGTAAGCTTACTGCAAGGGAAAAAGCTTACTTCAAGGGGAAAAGTACTTACTGCAAGGGAAAACGTCCCTAATGTGATAGCAGGATGTCTCCACTCATGAAATTACAAATTGCTTATGACACAGGGTCACTATTCTTAATTCTAGTTTTAAAATCTGATCTTGAGTCTGTCAACTGCTAATTTCTATTTGACTTTGCAGAACCTTTCATTTCTTTTATCAACTTCACATATTTGTGTACATCTCTTGGCAAAAAGAATTGAAATTATTTGATGAAAACATCCTTGTAAGCCAGTTATCATTCAGGAGTGGATTCTAGAAAGCTTTCTTTATTAGTTCCCTAGAGACAATACTTAAATTTATGATGATAAATTTGTGATGATAAAGGAAATAGCACAAGCGGAGGAGGAAAGGACTTGAATAAGAGAAATTAGAAAGATGTTCATTTGACACAAACAGAAACTTGCATGAAATATTCCTTGACCAAGCAGCTCTTTCCCAAGAACCTTGCTTTTAAAGACTGACTTTGAAATGTCACAGCTTTCTCCGAGGTCTGTGGAAAAGTGCTGAACTGTAAAGGCTCACAGTTTTGAGTCCAAGTGGACTCTAGTCCTAATTCTTTCCAAGTGTAAGTTTAGAGAATGATCTAACTACCCTGTTTCGGTTTTGTCTTTAGTCAAATGGAATGGGGAAAAAATATGTCAGAGTAGCTATAAGCAATAACTTTGCAACTTGCCGCGAACACAGTAGAACAGGCTCTAATAAATATGAACAAGTTTTCCCTAGTGGAAAGCACTACGGGCAAATGTTAATTATTAGTCACCTTTATTCTTCCATGGAAATGAGCCAAGTCCTTACCCCAAAACTGGACTGAAAGCCCCAAATAGCCAGATTCAAACAATAGGGCAAGGAATTACATTCCAAGGAAATGAGAAATGATCTAATACAGTCCAACATCCCTGAAGTGAGATGCCCTCAGAGAGGCTGGTGTTTCATAAGCTCAGTCATGTGCAGGACTTGCAAACTGTCTGTTTTTCTAATAAAGCTAAATAAGGAACAATGGTGACCCACTCACCCCATGGCCAAGTCCAAGGTTATAGAAAAGCAAATATGTTCTGAATAAGTCAGCCTAGCGGCCATGTACGCACAGATCCAATGGCAGCATTTAAATGCTCACTGCTGTTACCTACCCTCATTTTATTCTTGATTTCTTCCTCATTTCTTCTTCACAAAGTCACAAAAAAGAAGACCTCTTAATGATAAGCATGTAAAAATCTATTGATAGGTCTGTTTGACTTAATTCCCCTGCTGAAGAAAGCAGGCTTACATTAGGACTGAGGGTCAATATAATGTATTATTTCTGATGCATGTTTTTCCTTGCCAAAAATGAGAACAAAACAGAAGGTGAAAAATAGTAAAACCAGGAGACTGAAGTACATAATGTAAGATACATACAGATCTATATATAATCCTAATGTGCTGAGAGATCTGGACAAAAAGGATTTCATTCCAAGTTGCTGCTAGTTTTGATGCAAATGCAGTAGGTGCCAGGACCCATGAGCCTGACCAAGTAGGTAGAGAGCAGCCAGCCATCACAAGTTACTCTTTGTTAAGATTTCTATTTCAGAGTCAAGGGTGCCTTGGCAGCAACAATCAGTATTAACACAGGTGTTCCAAACCAAGGAAAAGACACTTTGGAAAACACCAGATAGTAACTCTACCTAATCTAGCAACGCCCCCTGAACAAGTATGCTGCGTATTTATGCATTGTAGCCCATGGTGATGGAAAATTCACTACAGAATAAAAACAAACACTGCATATTACATTTAGTATAGAGCATGCCTTTTCTGCTCAGTACAAGAAAAACCTACTACCCAGCAGATAATGGGAATGATGAACTGACAGCGGCGAGGTGGCAGGATGCTGTTTGTTTTTTTTTTTTTTTTTTTGCCCGCAAATAAAAATAAAATAATAACATCATTGAATAGCCCGATTAAACTCTTGTCCAATTCAAAATTCATCTTCAGAACTGTCGGCTAAGAGCATCACTCGATCTTGCATGCTGTTGAATTCTCTCTGCTGGAGAAGGAAAACAGAAAACTATTAAACCCTTCATGTCACAGAGAAAAGCTGAAAAACAGACCCCCTTTCAAAGTCACACTGACCAGCCAAGTGGAGGCGACAGCTGTGGCAGCTAATCCCAACCACTGGGCACTCGGATATGTTCACGCATCATTAAACCCCATGTGCTTTATTAAGCAAATTAGATAAGCAAGAAGCTTCTGAAGCTGATTAGCTTTTGCTGTTGGTGGTTCCATACCTTTCTTTTATGCCTTTTGAAGCCATTCCTCCTTCGGCGATTCATAACTTTAATGCTATAGAGGGCTCCCAAGATGAACAAGGCTCCTGCTATCCCAACCCCTACGGGTACCAGCATCCCCGACATGTAACCAGCCTGCAGAGAAAAGCAACACATTAGGATGCTAAACAGACCACGGCCCTGGGCTTCTCATTGCTGCTGCATGAATTCTCTTGTCTGTTTTGTTATAAAATAAAATAGCACTTAGAATACAGTTACTTTTTATAGAGAAGGCAACAGAGAGGTGTGACTATTTTTGGATATTTCAGATACTTATTCGTATTGAAATAAATCAGCCAGACTTAATGGCATCTCCAGACATTTGCTTATGTGCATTTGTCAACATCAGGTTTTGGTGACAGAAATATAATTTGTTTTAAAGATGGATGCAGTAAATTTCTGGGAATGCCAGGGCTATTAAAATGCTATAAATTGGAAATACAGCCTGAGTTGAGTTCCAAGGAAAATGAAGTGCCTTCTGGAATAGTGAGTCTTGGGAGGGCCAAGGAGGGTCTAGACATGGATGGGTTCCTCTCTCACAATCTTACCTGCATTATTGTAAGAATGGAAAGAGAAATGTGCATGTAAGCTATATAGGAAAAGGTGAGAGCTCTGGAAACAGAAAAGAGAAGGACTTACAAAGGAAAGAGAGGGGCAGAAAATAAAAGTCTCCTAATAATGTTATTATATGTAGACTGTAATGCTTCTAGAAGCAAACATTTCTAGAAGTAATCAGAAGAATAAGTGAACCTTTTCAAAACTGCAGCCCCTCTTTTTGTACATAGCCAGCTTACTCACTAGTTCTATTTCCCAGAGTCTTGAGTTAGGAGAGAATATGGAAATTCTTCCATTAATTTGAGAACAATAACATTGCTTGGCAATGTTTTTCTCCAAGAAAACAACACCCAGTCATTTTCCAACCAATTAAAATGCTTTGCAGAGCCTAAACTTTTTCCAAAGGTCTTACAGATCTACTTAAGGCACACAAAATTATATCATTTTCCATGTGGGAAAGCACTGGACAATAGCAGAGTTTGGGCATTCTCCCTGAAATGTATTTTTTTTTAATTCTATTCAACAAACATATACACAGAAACATGATCAACATTAGGCCTAGCAGATTAAATGTTATCGTGCTTTATATTCAAAGGATGATTTAAGCTTCTGGAAGCTCAACTTGATCAACCTCTGGGTGGGTCTGCTCATGCTAACACAATTTAACCACATATCAACAGTATTGCAGAATGTCATGCTCCTCATCTTTTTTATTTACACATTTAGACTTCTTATTTCTAGAACCTTAAATCATGTAGATTTCACAAAAATGCAGTTAATATCTCTCCTCTCTTTTTTGTCTCGTGTGTATATGTATCTGTCTACGGCATCTGCTTATGCCTTGCTATTACAAGATGAGAACAAAGCAACCTATCATTTTCAAATATAATTTAACCATCTCTCTTTCAAAACTAATTGAAAATAAACTCTTCTTTCAGAATGTCCCATAACTTGTTGCCTGCAGAAATGAATATGAATAAAACTCACATCTATCATTTTTAAGTTAAAATTCTGGTACCTTTTCTCTGTTCACAATTATTGGCTACATATGTGCCTCCACATGCGACATGCTGAGGACACACCTGCACCTATGTTTTACTGACCAAGAATGCAAACCCTGGGCCTCCCCTGGTGGCACAGCAATAGAGCGCTGGGCTGCGAAGCTGCCCGCAGCCTCTGCAGCGCTGGTTCAATTCCCGGCCGCCAGCGAGGGTCTCACATGGCGAGCAGATCTCAACTGCCACGCCTGCTGCTCCCTGCAGCAGTTTGTTTCGTCAGGCTGCCTGTTCTGTTCCCTGCTCTGGTTCTGGTGAATTCTCTTACCCTCCCACACTTCTGACCATACCCAGTGCTTGTACAAATAAAATAAATAAATCTTTAAAAAAAGAATGCAAAACCCTGAATCCAGTCATGAGAAAACATCCAATAAACCAAAAATGAAAACTACTCTAAGTTATGAAAGGACTATTAAAATGTTTCAGATTAAAGAAATTAAAGAATTATGACAACTTGATTATATGAGCCTTGATAGATACTGTGCTAGAGGAGAAAAAAGTGTTTTCATAAAGGACATTTTGGTTCTGTTGGAAAAAACTGAAATATGGATGTCATAACTTGGCTGAATAGCCAGTTAAATGTATAGTTTAGTTTTCTGTTCTCAAGGATTCCGTGACTTTCATCAAAGAAGCAGTAGTTTCATTCTCAAATTCTCATTCATTCATTTGTTATTATCTTAACAAAACAGCCATAGATTGATGGCAAGAGGGAAAGAGAAAGAGAGGGTTAGATAAGCAGATATGTATGCACATGAGCGTGTACACATGTGAATGCACCTTCAAGTAAAGTTATACTATTTCAAGCACAGGGAGGGGAGATATGGAAAGGACTAGAGTGAGTCCCTCCAAAGACAGAGTCAGAGGCCTCCCCTGCAAAGGGTTAAGTGTCAGCACTATGAAGCAATCCGCAGCCTCTGCAGCACAAGTTCAATGCCAGCCAGGGAGGTGATCCACATGGCACAGCAGACCTCTCCTGTCTCGCCTGCTGTTCCCCTCAGCAGTGTATTTCAGTAGATCTGCCTGTTCTGTTCCCTGCTCTCTCTCTGGTGAATCCCCTCACCTCCCGTACCTCTGGCCTGTACCCCAGTTCTTGTATGCAATTTATTTATGCATACATAAAATCTTTTTTTAAAAAAGAGTCAAATACAAAAGCAAAATGAATGAAAAAAGTCAACTTCTATTGAAGACTCAACTATTTCTTCCAATTTTCTTTAATTGAGACATAACTAAAATATACACTACAGAAGAAAATAAGGAGAGGGCTGGAAAAACTTCAAAATAACCCACAAAACTTGTAACCCCACATAAAATTTTTCCTCAGAGTGAAAAGAAGGTTCCAGGCCTTTGAGACCAGAGAAGGAGGGGTCCAAAGTAAAGGAAAATACAGGTCGCCTTTCTAGAAAGCTTCACAGATTTTCAAATGGGGTGGTGAGGCTATATGAACATACAGGTAAGAAATTTCTGTTATATTCACCTTCAAAATAGGCTACATGCCAAGACTTATTTTCTTCAGCCTATTTTTTGGTCCATTTTTATAACCTAGACAATATTTTCTATAGAAAAGACAACATATGGGCTCCTAGATTACCATACCCAAGCCTGTTGACTTTTCATTGCATTATATTTTCCCCTAGAAAATGACAAGGAGCACTTCCAATACAAGTATATCAAGGTCTACATTTTTGTGCTTTTCTTTCCCCCAAATCTTGGTCTGTGAGCCTCCTTTACACAATTGGACCCATTACAGACACTAAAATAGCCTCCACTGACCTCAGCAGGCTTAAAATTGTTCAACATCACATGGAATACTTGTGAACATGAAGTAGTTTCATTCTCAAAATACATAAATGCTAAATTTTTCTAAGAAGCAGGAAAATACTAGTGAGGAGACTAATACAATTAGATAATTTTATGCAATTTGATGTTTCCTTTTATTCTTTAGCATCAAGCTGTCAGAAAATAAATTTAATCATTCAAAGATGGACCACAAATAATTAAAAAAAAAGAAATATATTCTGAGATGGATAGCGGGAGGTAACTCAATATCTGGCAATTGAAAAGCTCTCCATTTATCTAAACCCCCAGTTAATTCTGAGCTGGGTTATAGTAATGGGATCTGACACAGGCCATAGCAGGGAATTCAGGATTCCATCAATATGTTTATGAGTAATTCCAGTGTAAAATTATGAAGTAACCAAAAATAAAAACTTGGAGAGTGTTGCAAATCAAAAGAAAATGAAAATATATACGTGGCAGGAATTAACATCGTCAATCACGGCTAGAGATGGCAAGATTAATACAGGAGAGGAACACGATTTTCTCCAACAGCCATTCCAGACAGGTCAGCTCATTATCACTTAGTAATACTGGCATCCCAATAGACCACATAAAAGTTGGTCTAAGGAGAATATTCAGGTCAAGTATTTTTACCCAAACCCCCACTGTAGTTAAAGGTTGCTGTCTGCAGACTTTTATTCTTGAATCAAGTCCATCAATTTTTGCCCTTGGGTTAGAAGAATCAATGTCTTTCAAAACCCAAAGAATTTATTCCTCATACAAGATCAGGCTTAAAGGAGCCAAGCACTAGGACAAGAGATGCCCAGTAAAATGGGATTACACTCCTGAAATTCCCCAGAAGGAAGCCCTTGGTGATATGTCAAGGACATTATTTAGTTGAGCATACAGATGTCACCTTCATAAGAAGGAACGGTGCAGCAAAGAATATGGTGGCCCAAGTGCTGCATGGGAAGGAACTCAAAAGGAAGACCTTCTTTCTTGCTGGGCACCTGGAAGTGAGCAGTCCTGTGTCCCTGAATAATTTACCAGAATCAGAGTAATGAATGGAAGTGTGACCTCTCTGAAGATCTTTTATTTGCCAAAGACTTGCCCACTAAGATAAATCCAAGGGAAGAAAATACTCCTCTTACCTTGTCTTTTAGCTTTTCCATCCAGCTTCTCACTAAAGAAAATAAGAGAATAAAATGTAAATAGTCATCTTTTTATTTATATTTCATTAAGTTAAAGTGATTATTTGTATTTCATGGTATTAAGTTAATTTGATAAAATGAAGGTTTTATTGCTTGAAATACAGTGAAAGAGTCAACACTATTAACATAATGACAGTATTGTTTTTATTCTCATTTGTCTAAAATGAACAGAGCAAAAAACATGTCCCTTATATCATCATTAGATTAACAGAGATTATTTTTGTTTGCTAATTGTATTCCTATTATTCATGAATGCTTTAGGGTGGGGCCTGAGGAAGGAGAGAGGAAGTCACCTTGAAAATATCAAGTTCATTTCTCAGCTGACATTTTCTCCTTAGCTTTATTTTTTCACCTTGCTCAGTTTTTAAGCTCAGCGGGAATTCTGCACTTGAATCAATGTCAAAGCCTAGTAAGGTAGAAAAGGGCAATAGACAAGCCAGCACTGGCTCCAAAGAGAAGCATTGCAATAACATTTGAAGAAGAAAAATTTGACCAGGGGCAAGAACAGGAAGTATTTCTGAAATTTGCATAGCTTGCAAACTGCAAAATTCTATCACAACATAACCACCATATATGCAACAATCAACAAAATACTTCTAAAAGTCAACTGAATAGGGCAGATTAGCTATGAAATGTTATATAGACCATGGCAAGCACTTGGAAACACAGGTGCAAAGAGTGTGAGGAAATGTCAATCAAAACAAAAACACACATTAAGATGGCCATGGGAAGGATGGTTTGAAGTTACTAGTGGGTGGGGGGAGTTTTTCTTTAATTGTCTTTAATAGTTATAATATTGTTTCCAAACTCCATAAAAATTCATTTTTAAAAAGTATCAAAAGGAGAAAAAGACAAATATATTTTCATTCTACCATTATTATTAAACAAATTCGTTTTTAAAAAATTTTCAAGATTCCCTTCAATTTCCTTTCCTCTCTGGGAACTTCAACAGATATTAAGGAAGGACAGATGACAGACCCAGAAATGGCCCCCTAGAGGGGTAGATGAGGAAAACCTAGAGGGCCAAGCCATACCTGTGTTGTTTGTACGACTCTACAGGTCATACAATCTCTGCCACACTCATCTCTGTTGTTGCATGAGAATGTAGCATAAAAGAATAAGTTTGGTTATGTCCCAACAAACATTATTTGTAGACATTGAAATTTGAATCTCATCCAACTTTTCTATGTCACCAATATTTTTCTTTTCATTTCTTTCAAACACATTAAAATATAAAACACAGTGGGTGCCTTGGTGGCAGGTGTGGTGCGGTAACATACATTTGAAGGGGTTGATCCTATACCTCTGAATCACAAAGTATGTGTAAACCAATGTTATCTCAATTAAAAAACATGATAAAAAATAAAATACAAAACATCCTTTGCTCATGGACCATATAAAAATAGGCATCAGGCCAGATTTGGACCATGGGTCATACATAATTTGATGTTCCCTGGCAGAGACATAATTTACCCAAGAAGTTGGTGTCTGTATTTATAATTTGACTGTGTTCATTAATACCTGACAGTAGTGATGACAGCTAACATGCATGCAGCTTTACCTCTTACAATACACATTCACACATACTGCATCGTTTAACCAGCAAACTTGAGACCCAGGAAAGGTGACACTTAGGTAACAGATGAGACACTGCAACCCACAGAAGCTAATAGATTTGCCCATGGTGAACCAGGGAATAGAGTCACTGGAACGCCAATCATTATCTGACTAAACAACAGACAGGAGTATGACTTCCCAACTGCCTTTTTCTTCTGGAGATACCACCCTGCTTATCTCTCAGACTGAAAATGTAGAGATAGCTTTAGTTCTTCTATCTGCTTCAACTCTTAGCTTCAATCTCTCCTATCAAGATCTTGACAAGAGCTCTCAGGTCTGTCCTTTCTTCATCACTCCTTCTGTCTCAACTGATAATCAGGCAAAGATAGTGGTGACCAATCAGGGTAAGATCAAGGTCAGGGAAGGTCAAAAGAAGGAAGTGCAGGAACCTCAGGAATGATTCTAGGAGTGATAACCCCTGAAACCCTGCATGACCTGGAGCAACTCAAGAACCTGTAGAGACTTCAGTTTCCTCACATGTAAAATGAATATGGTAACACCTGTCTTGTAGATTCTGTAAATAACATAAATAACATATGCAATGTTTCTAGTACAGTGCTGGTGTAGAGAAATGAGAAAACAAAAACAATAAAAATAGAACAGGAGAAGAGAAAGACAGACATACAAAATATGAGTATTGTGTTGACATCTTTTCTAAGCCCAATACAAAAATTTAAATTCAGGCAACAGAAAATCAACTCATCTACTCATTCAACAAATATTTATTATGCACATCTTCTCAACCAGACACTATGATCTATACAGGGACAGTGGAAGATACAGGAAGAAAAGGGTGACATGATCAGGTTTATGAGACGAGGATGACAAGCAGCAATATAAGATGGAGAAGGTGAGGGACAGAGAAGGAAAGCCGACAAAGCCAAAACTCAACCCCTAAAGCAAGATGTTTGAGATCAGGGCATGAGCTGGGTATTAAACATAAAGAACAAAAGAGAGGTGGAAGCAGGAATATGGATGTGGGCACCTCATTAAAGAGGCGGGTTGGAGCCAGCTGACTTCTCTGGAAGGCAGGAGCAGGGTAGCAGGAGAGGAGGAAAGGTCAGTACTGGTCAAGCCAGCATCTGAGGCACTGGTGAGATTTTGAACTGTAGGCAATTCACTGCCAAGAGAACTGTTTTAAGTGAGGCCTTATCAAGGCAGGTCTTACTGGCAAACATGTCCATATCTTAGGTTTTTAGAGTAAATGTCGGAATTCTGCTTTGGATAACTCCCTGATGCAGTGATTTCCCAGAAGGCACGCATCCACATCTGCAGAGAACATAAGCTGTGTTCAGACTGTTTGAAGCACACATTCAACGGCTTCAGTTCTATAGGTCAGAATAGGAGCTACAGAAAACAAAACTGGACAAAAGTCTTCTGGGCTAGTGAGGGGAGATACATGGAAGACAGTGGGGCAGGATTTGGTGGACATGGCTAAGCCTGGTTGTTTCCCAACCAAGACCATGAGACCCCTACGGATCCACTCTGTGCTTCTCTGGTGTCCGCTAGGAGGAGTAACATGGTACTGGACTTTCAGGTGCTTCATAAATATTTCTTTCTTCTTTCAGTGAATATTTATTGCCTTTCAGTGAGTGCACAATTTTCAAGTAAGCATGATTCTTTTTCATGAGGATTCTGTATAATGTTCTCAGCAAAACTTTCAACAAATGTTCCAAATACATTTCACACAGTGATCATTTTAAAACTTAAGCAACAGAAGTTGGCAAGGGAATGCAAAAGCAAGAAGAGAAATAAAAAACACCTTTTTAATAAAAAGAAAGGACTCTTTATGAAGGGGAAAACCAAGAGACCCAATTTTTTAAAATAGAAAAACAACACATTGGTAAAGAGGGTAGGGATTGTTACAACTTCTTGGATGTGGGCAAGGAATTTGCTCAAAAAGTGTCAGTGTTTTGGTCTAGTCAAACCTTCAGTTGATTGAAAGAGGCCCAATCACACATTACAGGAGGCAACCTGTTTTAGCCAGTCTACAGACTAAAAATTAATCTCACCAGAAACATACTCACACACCCAAAATAATGCATGGTCAACCATCTGGCCAGACCATGGCTCAGGCAAATTGGCACAAAGAATTAACCATCACAGTGTGAGACTGAACAAGGCCAAGGTCATAATGCCAGGAATCCCAACCTGTAAGGGCCAGGAAAAAGAGAAAGGAAGAGGGAGGAAAAGAGACAGAAAAGGAATGGACAAAGAGGCTCAAAAACCTGAATTTTTCATATGAAACAATACAAAGGTGTTTCTGAGGGAGTTTTCCCATTCCACTGTTCAAATTCTTTGTCCAGGTGCTGCCAAGTCCATTGGTACTGGCCTAGTGCAAAGCTGTCCTGCAGACTATGATGGCTTCTATCCTGCACAGACCTGAAGGTCTCTCTGCCTGTGTCTTCCAGTTGTAGGAACCTGTAGAGGGCTGGTCCGAAGCACTGAGAAAATACCGCCCAATTAGCCATCCTCAATCAATGAGGGCCAACAGTTGATAAGCACATTCATTTCCTATTGCTGTCCAAATTCAATTGCTTAAAACAACACAAATTTATTATCTTATATTTCCAGGGGTCAGCAGTCCAAAGTCAGTCTGATGGACTAAGCCAAAGTGTCAGCAGAGTTGGCTCCTTCTGAAGGCACAAGGGGAGAATATATTTCCTTGCCTTTTCCAGTTTCTAAAGGTTATCTGTACCCCTTGTCTCATGGCCCCTTCTTCCCAGGTTCAAAGTCAACAACATAGCAATATAACCCCCCCTTCTTGCTTTCTCACTCTCATTCACTCATCTGTGCTTTCTTTGCCATGTTTTCTCCTGTGATTGATCCTCCTAGTTTTCTCTTAAAAGTACCCTTGTGAGCATCTCTCCACTTCTAAGTCCTTAATTCAATCACATCTGCATCCTTTCATCCCTTTGTAAGGTATTCCCAGGTTCTGGGAACTAGGATGGGCATATCTTGGAGGGTCATTATTTTTCCTACCACTTGGGTAAATTCCCCAAGTTGTCCTCTCTCAGGAGACATGTTCCATACAACTTCTCAGCTAATCCACAGCAGCAAGGAGACACAGCAATAGTCCACAATAGTCCTTTCCTGGCTCTCCACCCACCCCTGCTCACTTCCTTATTCCACATGATTCCCATGGTCACTTCCCAAATACATTTCTTGTGCCTGAATCTAGATTCAGGGTCTACTTTTAGGGAGTCCTCAAACTAAGACACTAACCTACAACCATCACATAGGCTGGCCTCTCCTTTGCCATACCAATTCTTTTTTTTTTGTTTTTAAATAACCTTCTAGAATGAGCAAAAGTAAGGGGCAAGGAAGACAGGTAAGCTGGCCAAATTCATGGCAG